TATCACGGCGGGGGCCACCAGAAATGGGCTCTACACATTTTACACATGTTGGGAATCGAACCCGGGTCTTCGGCGTGACGAGCAAACGCTTTAACCACTAGGCTGTCCCACCACCACCCCACCCCCACCCCCACCCCCACCCCCACCCTCACCCCCACCCCCACCCCAAATATATTAAGACTTACACCTGTATAAACGTTGCGAAATTGATTTGGCTATATACACTCTGATATATATGCAGTTTAACATCCTCATCTGTCTGTCAGTTGGTATTTCGTCTGCGAATATAACACTACTAGTAATTCAATACACACTCTCAGAGTCCTAGTGCTCCTAATCGTCAACACACAAAATCAGCCACATAACACGTTTAGCCACTGCGACTTCCACAAAAATGGTAGTCGGACAACTAGTAGTCTTGACTGCGACTGACTGACTGACTGACTGAGTTTGGTTTTACGCCGCTTTCAGCAATATTCCAGCAACATTACGGCGAGGTACACCAGAAATGGGCTTCACACATTGTGCCCATGTGGGGATTCGAACCCGGGTCTTCGGCGTGACGAGCCAACGCTTTAACCATTAGGCTACCCCACCGCCCCTCAAGACTGCGAACTTTGTGCATGTGTAAATTGACATTTCTGTGGAAGTCGCGGTGGCTGAACGGGTTAAGCGGCTGACTTTGTGTTCTGGCGATAAGGTGCCTGACTCTGACTGTTGATAGGTTGAGTCCCATTCGGGATTCGAACCCACACTCTCAGAATCAGGCACCAACACACAAAATCAGCCATAAACCCCAAGACACCGCGGCTTCCCGTGTAATCCCAAATATAACTGATTTTTTACCACTTTTTAAATGACATTGTGTATTCACAAATTCACTTACCTGAACACACAGTTAAAACCACGATCGCTAATACAACAAAGGTCTTCATATTTCGTATGTTTTAGTTCCAAAGTGTGAATCACGTAGCAGAGTGGTATGCTATACAACAACTGCCTCTTTTATACCTTTAATTTTTTGTTGTTCAGGATGCTGTCAGTGGCTACATATGACAAGTGTGTTTATGTCACAATCGTTACGTACCTCACAGACAGCTCGCCCTGCCCTCCGGTTACACTTTTGTTGTCATCGCCGATTCCTTATCTTTGTTTTGATTGGTCCGTGTTTGTGTTTTATGGCTGTCAGATTGTGTGGAGCACGGATTACTCATGACCGACATGCTCTGACCTCTGCACCTACGTCCAGGAATATGTGTATATGATGAGCACATCCTGGTGTAGTGCAAGTCCAGCAGCTATTAGAGTGATGGGGTTCACTAGTGTTGTGTCTACAAGGCATGTTTTTTCAAACATCACCCAGACCGCTGGACGCGCAGGTTTCGCATTTATATTCTGTAATGTATTTTTTGTAGTACCCGGGGACCCGGACCGGTCCGACTTTTCTTAGCCTGAGTTTTACACCAGATATGACTGACTGACTGAGTTTGGTTTTACCCCGCTTTTAGCAATATTCCAGCAACATCAGGCCGGGGGACACCAGAAATGGGCTTCACACATTGTACCCATGTGGGGATTCGAACCCGGGTCTTCGGCGTGACGAGCCAACGCTTTGACCACTAGGCTACCCCACCGCCCCCCAAATATGATGTACATGTATTTCACATAATCTGGCCAATGCGTGCAATATGAAATACAGCTTACCCGTTGTATGCAATGGACAGTGTATGAGGTTTTAAATCCTATTCAAAGAAGCCGAAAGGACAGTGTTATTTTACAAAGATCTATTCATCGAGTATTTTTACAAAGATACCACTACTGTAACATAAACAGAATACGGCATGAAAATAACACCTCTATGTACACTTCAATGCGCACCAAATAAATATGATCAGCCATTTTAAGAAAAAATAAATTACTATACGATGATCTTCGATGAACTAGATCTACTCACAAAATTGTATTTTCTCCTTAGAAACATTGGTTGGATTCTGTATATTTGACTTACAGTATTTTGTTTTGACTGTTTGATCGGCATTTTAGAAGTTGGTGAGTCAATAATCAAGCATACAACTTTATGGATAAACAAGATATCAATTTACCTGAAATAATCAAACACGTTAATTACAATTGGTATCTCCATCTTTGAGAGGTGTGTTGATCAACTAGTTCACCTTTCATCTTAATACACCGTTCCCCTTTGATCATTGCCGAAGCATAAAGGAAACCACGGAGGCTGAGTGGGTTAGCTTGTAGACGACTGACTTTGTGTGCGGCGATTAGGTAGGAGCCTGACACTGAGGGTGTGGGTTCGAATCCCGGTTGGGACTCAACCTGACAAAAGTACTAGAATCTGTACTTTACTAAGAAAGTGTAATCCCAAATATGGCATGTCGACCAATAAATGAGTGAGTTTAGGAATATTCCAGCTATATGACGGTGGACTGAAAATAATCGAGTCTGTACCAGACAAGCCAGTGATCAACAGCATGAGCAATTGGGATACGATGACATGTGTCAGCCAAGTCAGCGAGCCTGACCACCCGATCCCGTTAGTCGCCTCTTACGACAAGCATGGGTTACTGAAGATCAATTCGAACCAGCATCTTCACGGGTATGGAACAATAATTGGGCCACAAGCAAGAAACCTGACTTTGCAAGATATTCTGTAACATTATCTGTACGTCAAGGAGATTACAGAGTGTTTGTGGCGGACATGGTTGCCGTAACCACTACGGAGTTTCAGCAGAAATACGACATACATGTCAACATGCTTCATGTCTTTTGTGTGAGCGGGCCGTGTCGGTCTGGGTTGTTTTCTGTGTAAGTAGGTCTTTGTATTTCAGTCTATTTGTTCCTGTATGCATATTTACGTCTCTCATAAGTTCATAAGAGTTAGTGTGGTGACCGAGTGAGTGAGGAGAGTGGGGAGGGTGCGTGTGTGTTCTGACAGTATGAGTTGCACATGGGCGAGTAAGTGCGCCGGTGATCAAATGAGTAGATATGTGTTTGTTTGCATGTGTGTGTGTGTTTTTTTGTTGCTTCCTGGTGTGTGCGTGCGTGTGTGTGTGTGTGTGCGTGCGCGCGCGTGTGTGTGTGTGTGTGTGTGTGCGTGTGTCCGCGCGCGCGTCAGTGGGAAGGGACTTGCACGTGGGTGTCAATGAGAACTCTGTCTTTCTATGTGTATGTGCGTGTGTGTCTGTCTACTCGCGGGGTGGTGGGGTAACCTAGTGGTGAAAGCATTCACCTGTCATACCAAGGGCCCAGGTTCGATTCCCCACATGGCTACAATGTGTGAAGTCTATTTCTGGTGTTGCCCGCCCTGATATTGCTTGAATATTGCCAAAAGCGGCGTAAAATCATATTTACTCACTCACTGTCTACTCGCCAACTTGTGTGTTTCTTCGGTGCGTTTCTTTGTGTGTCTGCTTCTCTCTGCGTCGATGTGTACGTTTTTCAAATATTTTTCAATCGTATAGTTTGTTTTCCATTCAGGTTCTATTTAATGACATTGTATAAGCTAAGTCCACGACATAATGACTTATAAAACACAAGTTAGACACTTTTCTTTCAGAGAAATCAATTTCTTGCTTTGTCGTGGTGACCGAGAAATTATCCTAACATAATTCACGTTCTGATGCAGTGACATAATTGAATCAATTCCAACACGACAACAAGGTCACGGGAACATCAGCTATAACGTTCACATGTCATCATCATGGGAATCGAGCCCGGGTCTCAAGAGGACATAAGATTATACGAGTATCACAACCCTATTCTTTGATGGAGATTGCGAAGTCTCAGATCCCAACGATGTAACATTCCAAGTTGGCAAGACAGATCCAAAGAATCTTAAGAATGTTTATTTCGTCAAAAGGTACAGAAATGTGTAAAACAAAAGAAAAATGTATATCCAAAATGTTTTTTAACACGGTTTCCATGTAAAAGTACATCAAAAGTACTACTTTGTTGATATAGGATTACTGAAAAGAAAACCATTTGATAACCAAATGTTATTTGAGGTGTTATGGACAGAGAAAACATGGCATCCAAAACAATTAACGTAATACTCATTTAATATACACAAAGAACTTACTTAACCATCCCCTGTATTTTTGCAATGATATGTTTTCGACACGTACATTAAACTTCTCGTGGTGCCCACGATCCTTTGACTCATAAAAAACTTCAAAACGATTGGAATCCATGTTGATTTTATGATGATAATTGCTCATTTGAAAAAAAACTGACTCTGATTTTCATACAAAACCATGTCTGTACAAGTATGGCTCTGGAATGTTCAATGTTGAATTTATTGGTGAACGTGAACATTCAAAATGTCATTTTGCGTCTCTTACACGATTCAAAGTCAATACTGAGTGTAACCTCCACATGACTGTATGACAGCCAGCACTCTCCTCTTCGTACCCGTGTCAGTCTCTTGATCCACTGAAGGGGCAGTCTGTGCAATTATCGTGTAAAGCAGATCCCAATTGGGGCAGGTTCTGTACAGGAGGATCCCTTTGTTGCACACGACGACCAATCATGTCCCAGATATGCTCCAAAGGGTTAAGATCGGGGCTCATTCAATCGTGAGATATGTCAGGGGTTACTTAACTAAGTTCTTGGTGTATATTTACCGGTTAGCTTACTCAATATAATTACGCTGACACAAAACCTTCTGGAGCATATCCTGAGTTTAACAACAGATTCTTATGAAACTCGGGAGAAAAGATTGGATGACACCCACAATTATAGGCGTCAATAAAACCCAAAGAGCACAGGGTTGGGAAACTTCCCAGAGCACATGGTTTGGGAAAACCTTCGGCCAAGGAATGAAAGAAGAACGCGTGAGCATGGGTTTAAATGTGGAATAAAAGCAAGCTTAGTGACGTCAAAAGTAACCCATTATTGTTATTCTTTCTAAAAACAGCACAGATAATGTGAAATATTTTCCAGAGTGTATTTCTGTTACAGACCATAAAAACACATTAGAAATGTTGGAGGGAAACAAAATTTTATTTTGGATAACTCTGCCTTCCTCTTATCTATCTCCTTTGCTTTCCTCTTGGTTTTCTCCGAACGTTGACTTCACCCTGAAAACAATAAGGAAAATAACATTATTAGTTTAAGCAGGCAAGCGTTTGTTACAAATGTGGTGGTGTGTGGTCCTGTGCGTAAAGCTCAGGTCACAAATCAGTTGAAGTTATGCTACGTTGGGCGCGGGGAGTACTTGGATGGGTGACCTCTTGACTCCTTGACTCCTGAGAGTTTCTAGGACTTCAGTCCTGTCGCACAACGAACCCCGTAAAATACATGTGGTCTATTGTCATGGTCTAGGCAATTAAGTGATTTTGTTTACATTTGCCTCTGTTCACCCATCAGAAAATGGGTACCCGGTGGGATGACTATTACCCCTTCTCCGGGGTAATAATATTCAAATTGTAGGGCTTTGAACGTGCCCCTCTGTGGTGCGGAATTCCCTTATGTCTTTATTATTATAGTATTATATTATAAATGAAGAATCACTTTTTACTTCCTGAATACACAGTCAATGCAAGAGAGCAACCACTCTGGATTATACGCTGAAACAGATTCGGTTTTGGGTAAAATACCAGGAACATATTTGAGAATGGACCCTCTGAAAGAGAAGACACCAGGTGGTCTCGAAAAGAAAGAGTGAGTGAGTGAGTTTAGTTTTACGCCGCTTTTAGCAATATTCCATAACGACTGGGGACTCGAGAAAAGGGTTACACACATTGTACCCATGTAGGGAATCGAACCCGGGTTCTCAGCGCGAGTAGCGAACGCTTAAACACTAGACTACCCCAGCGTACCCGAATGAAAGAACTATATATCCCGGAGATGCCTTGAATGATATAACGCAAAACGTCAATGGCGTAGGTGCCTCTGTAGTCCTTTAGAAATATAGACATCAGATTTACCACAGGGTGATTTTGAACAAAACTAAACTATGTTGAAGTGTTAACACCCATCTACTTCCAATGACGTGGCTATGGAAATATAATATCAAAACCATTACAACTTTGATCTTGAAACGGGTTTGTGTGTACTTTATATCATTGTCAACTCATGAAAAGAATGAACAAAAATATGAATGCCGTGCGGAGACTAACTTCCGTTGAGTGAATGATTCGTGTTTTACTTTAACCAGCATTACCGTAATATCATACGTTGTTTGTTTGTTTATTGTTTAATGCCGTACTCAGCAATATTCCAGCGACATGGCAGTAGGGTAGTCTCTCGTACAGACCCTGAAGCAAATATATCCAAGAAAGCCCATGCAAGTCTAGAAAATGTGGCAAGTCTAGATTTCCTCAGCTTCAGGAAAATGAAGAAAGTCTCAGGGCTCCTTTTCATTATATATATATTTTTTTACTATGAACGTTTTTTTCAGTAAAATATGTTCATTTCAGAGACTAGTTGTTAGTCTAGCAGCAGGGGTGAAGGACTGCCTGTGGTTACACTGTCATAGACACTGTGGTGAAACCAGTCGGTGAGTGAGTGAGTTGTTAGCTTTTAACATTATTTCAGCGTTATCATGGCAAGGACATCAGAAATGAGCTTCACACATTGCAAGCGACGAGCGGCCGCTTTAACCACAGGTACTCTAAAGCCCCTAAAATCAACAAGCAGAGCCTACTACTGTAAACCAATGATTAAACAAGACAATTCTGATATTTGGAACCACAATCATTGGATCATGACACATTGGTGATGCATCGGAAATATAGAAACACAAGAATTCCGCTGAAATAACACTGTGAGACAGTAATTCTATACCTTCATCAGAACGCTCCACAGGTGAACACTTGAATTTCTCCGACGAACCATTCAGCATTGCAACCTCCGCAGTAATTGGGTCTGGAAACGAGAGTTTGCAAATAAATAGTAGTGTAACGATTCGCTGAATGTTCCAATGACCATGGCACATGTGCTCCCCCACCTATTTCATGCACGACTCGTGAACATCCGAGTTAGAATTGGTCTTCAGTAACCCATGATTGTCGGAAGAGACGACTAACGGGATCGGGTGGTCAGGCTCGCTGACTTGGTTCACACGTCATCGTTTCCCATTTGCATAGATAGATGCTCATGCTGTTGATCACTGGATTGTCTGGTCAAATCTCGATTATATACAGATCGCCGTCATATAGCTGGAATATTGCTGAGTGCGGCGTAAAATAAACAAAGCTTCGTGCGCTGGGCCAGGGGATTTTCATTACATGATCATCTTATCAACATAGGCAGTGGATCATATTAATTACGACATCTTAGTAACGATAGTCAGTGGATCATCTTAATTACCATAGTCAGTGGATCATCTTGATTACGATAGTACGTGCACCATAGATAAAAGATACTTGCCTGCATTCAGCACCAGGAAAGTTTGGACATTGTGAAAAACGGCATGGATTGGCGAAACAGCGAACTAATCTTTCTCCATTTGGACATGGCGAGTTCACGTAGATACGTCTCGCTGAAATAGAAAAAATATCGGGTTCAAATCCAAACACACAATGTGATTACATCCCAAAGCTGATAAATAGTATATCTTACTCAAGGGACTTGCTCTGAAGTGTGCATTATTAACATGCCAAGGGTTGTTTAACGTCTCAGTGATAATGAAGATATCAAGTGAGTGAGTGACTTTAGTTTTACGCCGCTTTTACAATATTCCAGCAATATCACGGCGGGGGCCACCAGAAATGGGCTCTACACATTTTACACATGTTGGGAATCGAACCCGGGTCTTCGGCGTGACGAGCGAACGCTTTAACCACTAGGCTATCCCACCGCCCCGAAGATATTAAGACTTACACCTGTATAAACGTTGCGAAATTGATTTGGCTATGTACACTCTGATATATATAAATATATATATATATATATATATATATGTGTGTGTGTGTGTGTGTGTGTGTGTGTGTGTGTGTGTATATATATATATGTAGTTTAACATCCTTATCTGTCTGTCAGTTGGTATTTCGTCTGCGAATATAACACTACTAGTAATTCAATACACACTCTCAGAGTCCTAGTGCTCCTAATCGTCAACACACAAAATCAGCCACATAACACACTCAGCCACTGCGACTTCCACAAAAATTAGTAGTCTTGACTGCGACTGACTGACTGAGTTTGGTTTTACGCCGCTTTCAGCAATATTCCAGCACCATTACGGCGGGGTACACCAGAAATGGGCTTCACACATTGTGCCCATGTGGGGATTCGAACCCGGATCTTCGGCGTGACGAGCCAACGCTTTAACCATTAGGCTACCCCACCGTCCCTCAAGACTGCTGAGCAAAACTTTGTGCATGTGTAAACTGACATTTTTGTGGAAGTCGCGGTGGCTGAACGGGTTAGGCGGCTGACTTTGTGTTCTGGCGATAAGGTGCCTGACTCTGACTGTTGATAGGTTGAGTCCCATTCGGGATTCGAACCCACACTCTCAGAATCAGGCACCAACACACAAAATCAGCCATAAACCCTAAGACACCGCGGCTTCCCGTGTAATCCCAAATATAACTGATTTTTTACCACTTTTTAAATGACATTGTGTATTCACAAATTCACTTACCTGAACACACAGTTAAAACCACGATCGCTAATACAACGAAGGTCTTCATATTTCGTATGTTTTAGTTCCAAAGTGTGAATCACGTAGCAGAGTGGTATGCTATACAACAACTGCCTCTTTTATACCTTTGTTGTTCAGGATGCTATCAGTGGCTACATATGACAAGTGTGTTTATGTGTCACAATCGTTACGTACGTCACAGACAGCTCGCCCTGCCCTCCGGTTACACTTTTGTTGTCATCGCCGATTCCTTATCTTTGTTTTGATTGGTCCGTGTTTGTGTTTTATGGCTGTCAGATTGTGTGGAGCACGGATTACTCATGACCGACATGCTCTGACCTCTGCACCTACGTCCAGGAATATGTGTATATGATGAGCACATCCTGGTCTAGTGCAAGTCCAGCAGCTATTAGAGTGATGGGGTTCACTAGTGTTGTGTCTACAAGGCATGTTTTTTTCAAACATCACCCAGACCGCTGGACGCGCAGGTTTCGCATTTATATTCTGTAATGTATTTTTTGTAGTACCCGGTGACCCGGACCGGTCCGACTTTTCTTAGCCTGAGTTTTACACCAGATATGACTGACTGACTGAGTTTGGTTTTACCCCGCTTTTAGCAATATTCCAGCAACATCAGGCCGGGGGACACCAGAAATGGGCTTCACACATTGTACCCATGTGGGGATTCGAACCCGGGTCTTCGGCGTGACGAGCCAACGCTTTGACCACTAGGCTACCCCACCGCCCCCCAAATATGATGTACATGTATTTCACATAATCTGGCCAATGCGTGCAATATGAAATACAGCTTACCCGTTGTATGCAATGGACAGTGTATGAGGTTTTAAATCCTATTCAAAGAAGCCGAAAGGACAGTGTTGTTTTACAAAGATCTATTCATCGAGTATTTTTACAAAGATACCACTACTGTAACATAAACAGAATACGTCATGAAAATAACACCTCTATGTACACTTCAATGCGCACCAAATAAATATGATCAGCCATTTTAAGAAAAAATAAATTACTATACGATGATCTTCGATGAACTAGATCTACTCACAAAATTGTATTTTCTCCTTAGAAACATTGGTTGGATTCTGTATATTTGACGTACAGTATTTTGTTTTGATTGTTTGATCGGCATTTTAGAAGTTGGTGAGTCAATAATCAAGCATACAACTTTATGGATAAACAAGATATCAATTTACCTGAAATAATCAAACACGTTAATTACAATTGGTATCTCCATCTTTGAGAGGTGTGTTGATCAACTAGTTCACCTTTCATCTTAATACACCGTTCCCCTTTGATCATTGCCGAAGCATAAAGGAAACCACGGAGGCTGAGTGGGTTAGACGACTGACTTTGTGTGCGGCGATTAGGTAGGAGCCTGACTCTGAGGGTGTGGGTTCGAATCCCGGTTGGGACTCAACCTGACAAAAGTACTAGAATCTGTACTTTACTAAGAAAGTGTAATCCCAAATATGACATGTGGACCAATAAGTGAGTGAGTTTAGGAATATTCCAGCTATATGACGGTGGTCTGAAAATAATCGAGTCTGTACCAGACAAGCCAGTGATCAACAGCATGAGCAATTGGGATACGATGACATGTGTCAGCCAAGTCAGCGAGCCTGACCACCCGATCCCGTTAGTCGCCTCTTACGACAAGCATGGGTTACTGAAGATCAATTCGAACCGGCATCTTCACGGGTATGGAACAATAATTGGGCCACAAGCAAGAAACCTGACTTTGCAAGATATTCTGTAACATTATCTGTACGTCAAGGAGATTACAGAGTGTTTGTGGCGGACATGGTTGCCGTAACCACTACGGAGTTTCAGCAGAAATACGACATACATGTCAACATGCTTCACAAAGACTCCTTATCCCAGCAGGATCTCACGTGAACTGTTTACGCAAGACAAGTAAATATACAGGCGAGGTCGTGTGGTATTATGTAGGATTATAAATATATACTCACCTGATAAATAATTCTCATCACAATTCGCCCGTTGTAGTCAGTCATCATTATCTCAGTTGATAATTAGTTGCGTAATTTGACATAGCAAGTGTAGCTCAGAGAGCATATGTTTGATTATCTTTCATGAGGTTGTGGGGGTGAGCTCGGTTGTTTTTTTCTGACATTAACTGTGCTCAATGTCTTAGTTATTTTTTAGATATTACGCCGCTTTTAGCAATATTCCAGCAATATCCCGGCGAGGCACCAGAAATGGGCTTCACACTTTACCCATATGGTGAGGTGAGGTGAAATTTGGATTTTACGTCGTGCTTGAGAATATTTCGCTCATATGACGACGTGCATGCGTGTGTATGTGTATGTGCGGCTGCTTGTACTAGCCCAGACTGAAGCTGGTTTTTATAGTGCTAGCCCACTGAGATACCATGCCGCAGTGAAGCATGAATACCCCACTCAGACACATTATACTGACTCCGAGCCGACCAGTCCTTGTTGTACCCATTAATGCCGAGCGCCAGGCAGGGACCAACAAGTACTATATTTTAACGTCTTTTGGTTTGACGCGGTCGGGGATCGAACCCGCGACCTTCCGCTCTCCGGGCGGACGCTCTAACCACTACACCACGGAGGCGGTTGTACCTAAATGGAGAATCGAACGCGGGTCTTCGGCGTGACGAGCCAACGCTTTAAACAGAAGGCTAGTTCACCGCCCCGGCATGTGGAAGACATTTCAGATTTGAGTCTTTGTCACAAAATGGAATGTAATTCTTTATTTTGGCTTATGCTAAAGTGTTTCTTTAAGGACAATTGATTTACCAGCAGATGTCACGATGTTATTCTCAATAACCATCACAGTTGTCACATTTATTGATGAAGAGGACTGGCATCTTCTCCTTTTAATTTGAAACATTTGGTTCAAAACGTTTGCAAAGATTGATGCCATATTCCCAACACAAGACCGGAAGTACAGCAGCAGCCATGTGAACGGAAGTGACGTTTATTGAAACTGAAGATTCAGAAAAAAACTATTTCTTTCATAAGGGTGCTCTCATATACATCCCGATCAATCAGGAGCAATCCTCAGTGAGTTAGTGAGTGGGTTAGTTGGGTTTAATGCCGCTTTTAACAGTATTTCAGTTATATCACGGAGTGTCAGCTTAATGTGGGGGAAAATGCCATAGTTGAGAATCACGAATATGGTGTTGACAAACGTAGAAGGTGTGGTTATATTAATCAAATCCACGCTTAAACAAACCAACCCTAAATCAGAGATCAGTATATGGTCCCTGCCTAAATAGAAAATAGCGGCACTTAAGACTCCTAGGTCAACCGTGATTTGATATTAGGACTGAAATAATTCAAAATCAGCATTAAGCTTATATAGCCGTGTACAGACAGAGCACCAATCATCCACGGACAAGTGAATTCCTCACAGCAATTGTCGTTTCGAGGAGCACCCTATGGTATCCACGTGTAGGCGAGCTCCTCACAGCGATAGTTCATTGGTGGACCTCATCATAGTTCTTTGCTTGTCAGTTTGAAGTTCATTTCAATATCAAGTAACTGGTACTGAGTAATGCGGTTTTCGTTAAGCTGCACTCTCGAACCAATCTGATTACCCAAACAAAACTAATTTTATCTTGGAAATAGAAACTTTTCGGATTCCCTAAAATGACATTCACAAAGACAAACACAAAAACATAAATGTCATCAGATTTGGGGTTTGAGAGAAAACTATCGAGATTCTTTTGATGGGCGCTTGCAGGCTGTTGTGAGTAACGAAAACGCCATTCGCTGGGAAGATGATTGATCTAATGTATTCCAGTCGGGGTCAGCCCGTTTCTGCTCAGACTACAAGAAGGTCAGTGTTGTTGCTGGCCACCTGGTTCCATACCACAACAGGAGTCGCCGCAAAGGTCACCAGCGTCCTACAAGAACACCGACCCCATCTGTCATATCATACCACAATGATTAATGTATACTGCTACATTCAGACCGTCATGGACATTACTGAACTGAGACGTAGCAGTGGTGCCTTTAGAATTTAATAATAATAATAATAATAATAATCTACTTCTATAGCGCCGAGTTCCAGCTAGGCTGCTCACAGGCGCTTGTGCAGATCAGTCTATTTCATTTCACATAGATGTGTCTTTAAAAGTTTTCGAAAAGTTGGTAGACTTGTGGCGGATTTTAGTGACATAGGGAGGTTGTTCCATAGCATGGGAGCTGCACATTCAAAGCAGCGGTCCCCATATTTGGTCCTGGATGGTCTGGTGATAAGCAGATCTTTATCTTGTGATCTAAGATCTAATTTAGGATTCCGTTGTCTGTTGCAGTCGGGTGTGCCATCTGAAACAGACAATTTAAAAAACGATCAGTGCATGGAATTCTATGCCAAGGTGGATCCATATTTTAAGTGGAGTTGAAGAAAGTATATTAAAAATCTAAAGTGGATAAGACCCAAATACGGGAACCGCATACAATGCAGTATAGAATCATAAACATATTCCTATGTTTCATATAAATACATTTTAGTCTTCCATTTTTGAACATGATAAACTTTACATCTTGATCATTTGTATGTATCTAATGTTAATAAAATTGGTCCCATATAGAACATACTTTATGGATAACAACTTCTTTTTATTCGTGAGTGCGACGTTTCGATACAGATTCTTGTACCGTTGTCTAGCATTATGCTACAAGAATCTAGCATTATGCTAGACAACGGTACAAGAATCTGTATCGAAACGTCGCACTCACGAATAAAAAGAAGTTGTTATCCATAAAGTTTGTTCTATATTGTACTTCCCAACTTCTAAAATGCCACTCAAAGAAAATTGGTCCCTTTGTATTATTTCTTTATTCATATATTGTTTACGTACGCCCTTTCAACTTCAGCACATTATGTTTCGCGGTATGTCTTTTGGACAAACATAGGGGACATGATACAGATCTTCTATATTGTGTTGGTTACACTGTGTCATAATTTGTCAAATTTGCGAATTTTGTGGTATCTCCCAATAGTTTTATGTCCCAACTCATGCACGAGCAAAATTGATATTTTAAGCAAATGTACACGTCTGTTAGATATTTTCTGCTTTCAGAACAACCATATCAAAGCTCTACCATGTTTTCTGGGACTATCCTAAACGATCTGGATGAATGGCGATTTTTTTGTTACTTTAGTGGTGCTATATGACTGATGTCCAAATGATTAGTGCCCGGCTTTCAGGAGATT